CGCAGCAGCTTTAAGAGGAGAACCGTGAAGCCAAAGCGGCCCAAGATTGCCTCGTTTAAACGCTAACAGCTGCTAAAACCCAAGTGGAGACCCATGCCTCATTCCCCACTCTTCTTACTCTCTCTTTCTGACGTGCACAAACTCTCCCACGCGACCGGACTGGAGCGCCGTGTTGCCAGCGCTGGAGACCCCGACAGCAAGAGCCAAGAGCAATTAAAGTGCTAATTCAAACCTGAAGGGCCCTTTTGTCCTGTGTTTCCTTTCTTCAAGTCAGAGGATCGGAATCTAACCAACCCCAACAAACACTCACACACACACACACACACACACACACACTTACACTTACACACACTCACACACACACACACTCACACTTACACTTACACACACACACGCACACTCACACACACACACTTACACACACACACACTCACACTCACTTACACTCACACACACACTCACTCACACACACACACTTACACACACTCACACACACACACACTCACATGCACTCGCACACACACTCTCTCTCTCACACACACACACTCACACACACACACTCACATGCACTCGCACACACTCACTCACACACACACACACACTCACTCGCACACGCACTTGCACACGCACACACACACTCACACAATCACAGACACTGACACACACACTCACTCTCTCTCTCTCTCACACACACAAACTCACTCACACTCACACGCACTCGCACACACACACTCACACACGCCCTTGCACATGCACGCATGCACGCACACACTCACTCACACTCACACAAACACACACAATCACAGACACTGACACACACAAACTCCCCATCTTTTAAGAGCTCCAGGCAAAGCTGAAGGGGAAAATTACACCTAAAGCTTTACGTTTCCAAATGGATAATGCACCAGAACCTCACGGGAGGCTCATTAAAGAGGGATGGACACAGCCAGGATTCTGGACAAAACTGTAAATCTGGTGTTTTGGAAATGGTCTATTGTATTACCATGTTTTTTAAACCATGTGTTTTTTAAAGAACACTCAGAAAAAGTACCATGGATTGGTTTGTTGGCCATGAACCAAAGTATTAGCACGTTTTCTGGACATTTATGGTATTTTGGGATATACAGCATGCTATATGAGTTTCAGTACCACGGCATATTTCAAATACCACAGTCAGTAATAATACAATGGTAATACTATATGGTACTTTGATATGGTACTGAAATGTATGTGACACGGTATTTACGCAATGGCAGATGTTTTTTGTAAACAAACTGGACACAGGCAATGTGATATTGACTCTCAGCTCATGACTAGTCAATCACCAACATCCAACCAATCTTCATCTACAGCCCATCACGCCCTCCAGTGGTCAACATGACCATCACATGATCTCCAGCATCATCAGCTATTAGATGCATTAGTTATTCAGGCCAAAGAAACAAACCCCAGGGATAAAACAATGGCCTGCGTTATTCTCGAGCACGAGTGACCCCGACAGCACTGCTGTGGCACCATGACATTTCATTGTACACACACACACACACACACACACACACAGTGCTCCTGTAGATCAGTCCACTGAGCTGCACTGAAGTCCAGATGGTGTGAAACTTTGCTGAAGGGATTAACGCCAAATCCTCCAGTGAGACACAAGAGAGGGTCCGTCTCCGACCCTCGAAACAGATTAGAGCTGGCTTAGCATGCTATACAGACAGCTTGCCCTTCCCAAACACAAACCATTGCATTAGCATGCAAATATACCACTGCGCTTTATTTTGTGCTTCATTACAGCACTTCAAAGAACACCATGATATACCCATCATTTTAGTGTCCAAACAAACAATCATGGGAGAACAATGTCCACACACATTGGCAAAAAACTAGGGTGATGATATCAAAGTACTATGGTATATGGTACTCCAAGAATACTATAGTAATACCATGGTGCTTACAGAAAATGGCAATGCTGTGGTATTTTAAGTACCTTATAACTTGTACATTATTTATTAATAATTAAACATAATTTATTACTTTTAGTGATAGCCTATAAAAAATGAAAAGCATAAGATTAGTTTACCATGTAAATATATGAATATGGCAATCAATGGTGGCCTAACATACTGTGCTCTCTGACATCATCATAGACATTGTACAAAATATTGGCAAATGGATAAAAAGGGCACAATTTAACACAATTTAATGATATAGGCTAGTAAACAAAAAGTCTTTAGTTGTCACTAGTTAAAAAATCCCGAAAGCTTCATAAACTGACGTTCCATTTGAATGTATTATGTTAATTTTGTTGTGATGTGCCATTTATTTCGTTTAATATTCACACAGAACGCGTTCTAACGTTCCAACAAATGGAACGCATAGAACGCGGGAGTTTCGAACGCTCGTGACCCAGAGGCGCTGTTCGTATGACACGCATGCGCAGACTGACCGACTTGAAAATAATACACGTTTTGAGAGAACGATACATTACAGTCAAAACAACAGCGACTGTAATAATTGTATAGGCCTACCACCATAGATGGAACATAACACCACTAAATATGTGCTATTCCCGCTGATATTTTTCTGTTGACATGGCGCAATACGCCTTACTGTAAGACAATTGCACAAAATGCTACAAAGAAACACACACAATCACTAGCCCAGATAGCAAAAAATATCGCCACGGCTTCTTTTTGCCGCCGGCCCCAAACTGTCGGCTATAGGTGCGGCCCGCTGGCGGAGAAGAAACGTTTGCCGCCGAATACGTCACTCCCATTTCTTGCGAGATGCCGCCGGCGAACAGCCGCCGGGCCGCCGACTTCATTCTCTCTGGCGGTTGCCGCCGTCTAAATGAACCGCGGCCGGCTGGCGGCAAGCCGCTTTGAAATCGACCAGCCATGTCATTGGCATGAGTGGAACTGACAGCATTTTAACTTTCACATTTAAAGCGATTATAATTATTATGTGAATTATATCAAATTTTTAGGTACCAAAGTCATTATAGGGTTTATAACAGATTTGACTCAGTCTGATTCCATGATAAGGTTTAGGAAAATACATTTAAATTACGTTGAAACTCTGAAGCGATTCAGTGATAGGCCTATGTAAAATATATAGAATTATTTTATTTAAGGTGACAATTCATTTCTTTGATTTATGCACAAGTGAGATGCACAAATAGTCCAAAAAGAATTCCTTTTGTAAAACTTACTTGGCAATAAATATCTTTCTGATTCTGATTAGGTTTTAAAATAAATATTTCATTCATGGTATGAACAATTTAGCAGAATAAATGGATGAAGTTAGACTTTTAACCAATGCCTGAAATCAGTGAACAGTGAAAGACATCTGCAACTTGGCCAAAAGCTTGGGTATGCTTTAGATTTTTTTTATTAATTTGCAACCATGGTAATATTTATAATAAACATGAAAATCCCTGTTTTGACCTGAAAGATAAAGTGAAATATTTAGAAATATTTTGTCTCTCTGTCACCCCAGGAAATTTCGTTTATGTCTTTCATTTTTTTACAAGTTCGATTTTTTTATTTATTTTACCTTTTACAGGTATAAGGGATTCATTTGCAATAGCGAGTTTTGCAATCTGTACAAATGTTTAAGAAAGTATTAAAGCACAAACAGAGAAGTACATCCACCGGCCGAGAGGGGCAGTACCTAAAAAACGGAAGCAGATTTACCAACACAACAGTGGCCACTCGTCACACGATTTCAGTATTTGGAGACGATATCCTATCTAGTCATTGACTACGATCTTTAAAGTAAGTACATTTTTCCTTTTTGTGTAACGCAATATTATGTTCATTTTTTACATTTTTAGTTCATCTTTTTCAAATATGTTCTTGCCTTACTAGTCAAGCTAGTAAGTTAGCCTGTTTACAAAGTTTGCGTCATGTTTCTGACATAGCTAATGTTAGTTAGGCTAACGTTACTTAGTTTCTTCCTGGCGTTAGTTTTTTCTTTTCTTCTTTTAACTATATTTACGTATGTTTATGCAAGTGTGAGTAGGCCTACTACAGTATGTGGTTTAAGATAGTATTGGTCAGTCGAATAATTAACTAACTTACGTAACCAAATCCTGAAGGACAATTCTCCCGCCCACGTGGGAATGGTAACGTTAGCAACATCTTTACGACAAGAAAGACTGATCAGTATAACTTGTGTTGTTTTCTAACTAAACATAATGATGTTTTGTTTGATTCGACAACCATGCTGCTAGTCTAGTTTAACTTACAGTGTTAGCTAACACATGCTGCTTCGCCTTTTTTACTCACTGAATTCAAGCATGTTCGACATGTTGAAATGTATCTAGCTACAGTAGATCGCCAAAGCTTTACATCTAGAAAGAAAGCTTTACATCTAGAAAGTTTAACTTTTGGTGTTTTCTTACAAAAATAACTGTGTGTGTGTGTATATATATATATATATATATATATATATATATATATATATATATATGTATATATATATATATATATATATGTGTGTATGTATATATGTGTGTATATGTATATGATTGTGTTTTTCTGAACATGGTTTTCTGTTGATCCACTTGTGAAAATGACTCGTTTTTTGAAGGGGTGAGCATTTTAATGTTATTGATTTTGCCTGGAAATTAATCAAAAAGTATACTTTATGCAAAATGTTCTTCTATTTTAGATGGTTCACATTGTTCAGTTTATCAACGAGGAGGATCTGCCATTTGCAGTGGTTCCGCAAGAGTGGCTCAGCGAGAGCATGTGCCATTGGCCCCCATTTAACCTCAGCAAAAAGACGAAGGCAACAATTTAGCCATCCTCTGCACACCTCCACACAGCACCTGGGAGAAACATCATTTTAAGTTCATGAAGGGAGCAGGTAAATGGGTCTGACTTGTGTATTTGATTTTCCTGTATTTCATCTGTGTAATTTATTTTCTGTTTATTGTGGATAACTGACTCTTATATTCATTATTCCCTACTCTAGAATCTTGTAAGTCTCAAGAAAAAAAACTCTAGAAAGATGCATCAATTCCAGAAAACCAGGAAAATGCTGAACTGGTATGTAAAATCTATTGCTGTTATGCTGGATTTGTGATCCTGCCACTAAACTATACCATTTGTTAGATTTTCAAATTTCTGTTTCCTCTTTCTCGCTACCAGGTTTCTCCCCAGTAATCCAGACTCCACTTCACAGAGCCAAGAGTTTGAGTAAATGTAAGTGATGTTATTTGTGAAGTTTTTTTGTCTTGGAAACTATTGCTTCTATTTGAAGTCGGCATGAACCGGAAGTTACAAACGACTTTTCTCCAGTGTTGTGACGTATTTAAAAGTGAAACGGTATATTGAACGGAGGGCAGGGTTTTACTCTAGCGCTCCTGTTCTCCATCTCTGCTCATAGCACGGTTTGAGGGGAGTTGCCACGCCCTCGCGCCATAGCACATGACCGGAAGAGAAGAGAAGTCGTTTCGAGGGGGGAGGGAAGGGTAACGTATTTGATTAAAGATTATAAGGCTACATGAATTTTAAAAGAATAATGAAGTGCACAGATAAATCATTTATAATAAACACTACAATATTACATATAAAAATACGAATTGTAAAATCTTACTTCAAGAGCAGGTGAAGCAAGTTCAACAAACAATGTTGAAGACGTTTGCTTGCACTGAGCAATTAGGTACAACTTGCAAACAGCACCTGTGGTTGTCGGTTTAATTCCCACTGGGGCTACCTGTACATGTAGTAGACCTAGATATAAAGTACAATTTAACATTGTATACTGCATATATTACAGTCTGAATCCTTAGCCTTTCACATTTTTTATTTATTTATGAGAAGCTTCAGAGAAATGTAATTTGTAACACTTTTTTGGATTTTCAGCTTGGTGTAGGGGATAAAGCATGTTTTAGAGACATGTTCCTGAAGACCATTGTTCAAAGTAAGTTGGATATTTTTTTTTAGATTTAAGTAGATGTGTATGTCCTATTGTCCTCATGCAATTCAAATTAAATGACAGATCTGTATTTTCTATATTAGCCATCCGGAAGGACCCGGCAACCCAGGATGCACTGATGAGGCGGTCCAGGTTAACGTTACGCGTTACCTGAAAGGAGCATCTGACCGTGAAGGCAGAAAAAGGCGCCGCACAGCTGAGAGGGACCCACAGCCGACCACTTAAAACTAGACTGACTACTGACACCCCAGAATCACTGACAACTGGAATCCTTTCTTTATCTTGCAGTCAGTAGAATCAAGACCCTTTAAGAAGTCAGAAGTGTCAGACTACACTCACTCACTGTGGAAATTACTTTCTTTTTTTCTTTTTCAAATAAAGCTTGTAAATCCTTGTGCCACAGGTCAGCATTGGGGTTATAATGGCCTATTCTACTCCAGAGCTTTACTATAAATTACTACCACTTATCATATTGTTAGAAATGGTTTGTAAATGTAGTTATACTTTTATTTATTTGGTATCTTGCACATTATTTGGTATCAAATATCCTCTTTACTTGTCATAATGTTTACTGGTAATTTTTTACCCTAGAGCTGTCCTTTTTATATGAACACTTATTGTAAGTGTTGTAATTTGCTTGTAAGGCTGTTTAACCAAAATTGAATTGGAAACCTGCATGTTAGTATATTGATTTATTTATTTTTCTGTTATGTTTCAGTGATCTGAAACATCTTGTTTAAATGACAGTTACTGTACTTTGAAATGTAGAATAAAAATGCCAATTATAAATTTGTCTGGTTTGAGCAATCATTATTCTTGATAAACTGCATGCTATAAATAAATAAATAAAAAATATATATATAGCCAGAATAAGCGGCGGCAGAGCGCTCGAAAATAGCGTTTGCCTCCGGCGGGCCGCGGAAGGACGGCCTTCAATATAAAGGCGGCGGAACGGCGGTTGGCCCGCGGGCCGGCCGCTTAACGAAGGCGGTAGGAAGGCGGCTGCCGCTTTTAAAAAGCGGCTGCCGCCGGTGGTGCGCCGTCCAACGTGTTTGCGATGTCGCCATTCTGACGCTTCTACTGCCGCCGGAGAACCGACGGTGGTCCGCCGACTCATTGCTATCTGGGAGTGCACTTACACTGAAACGCGCCCGGAATCCCGACCATCTTGAGCTCTTCTCGCGCGCTGACAGACTCTAGCCGAGGTGTGTGTGTTCAGTGGTGTTGTAGTCCAGTCTCCTTCACTATAGTTCCACGGACTCGGTGTGTTTGTGTTTGTGTGTTTGTGTGTGTGTGTGTCTGATGGGGGTCTGAACACACTGATAGCATCTCTGGCATGTTTATTACTGGAGGCGGAGCTACAGTCTACACACACTCTTACAATGAATCTGATCAGTGGTGATATACATGGTACAGTGATGCTATGATGTTACTTTGATGTATATTATGGTGATTATAGTGTCATATACCATAATAATACATGATTACATGAAGCCATTGCATCACTTTGGTATTATTCCCAGAAAACATGGTAAACCCATGGGACATATCCTCAAATGTCCTACACACAAACACATACAATGATAATACTGTTCCTCTGGTTTATATTGGTCATGTACCATTATGTGAATTTCAGGACCATATATTATAAATATATTAAAGTACACTTTTTATTATATTAAACGGAGGCTATTAAAGAATAACTATTCCATACAGGCTCTCAATCAATATGAGCTCACTTATAACAGCATGTTATTTTAGTATTATTTTTTTATTTATAATTTATATACTTCTACAGTATTTATTAATATTCTAAATTAGCTTTTGTTTGTATCTTTTCAAGTGTATTTTATTTTTAGGTTCTTTAAATATTTCTATTTAGCTTTAGGTTTATTTCAGATTTAGTCATTTTAGTCCTTCAACATAAACTTATATTTTATAAAATTTGTAAAATTATTATTTTTTGTTTATTAGCCTATTTTTAAATGTGATTTTTTCTGTCCAATATATATATTTTATTTTAGCTTTAATTCAAATAACAAAAACCATTTTAAATAGTTTTAGTTGGAAATATCAACACTGATGTATGTTATATTTTAGAAAATAAATTAGTAGAATATTTTTTAGAAGTTTTGATGGAATGCTATACTTATGTAGCCTATATATATAATGTTAGGGTTCCTGATGTGTACATTTATATATATATATATATATATATATATATATATATATATATATATATATACTGTACATGAGCTGAGATCATATATATATATATATATTATTTATATATTTTTTTAAATATTTTTTTTCCAAAAGAAAACATTCTAGTTTTGGTTGCATAGAGTGTAAAACTATCTTTAAATAAATATATATATAACACACACATAATGTAGCACCTTAGCAACCACCCAGAATACCCTAGCAACCACCTAGCAACACCATAGCAACACCCAGAATACCATAGCAACCACCCAAACACCCTATCAACCACCAAGAACACCCTAGCAACCGCCTAGCAACGCCATAGCAACCACCAAGAACACCCTAGTAACTTCATAGCAACGCCCAAGCAACCACCCAGAATACCTTAGCAACCACCCAGAACACCCTAGCAACACCGTAGCAACCACTTGAACAACGTGAATAAGCCATATCTCAGCACCAGAACATCATACAGACGTGTTTGTTGGCTCGTATGCAATCATGTACCACACCCTAGCAACCGAGCGGTGAGTTTTGCCACTGCAAGCACCACTTCACACTTTCTTCTGGAAATGTACATTCTAAGTAATGTTGGTCCCTGAGAAGCTGACAAAGACATTGACTGTAAACTGTTCTCCAGTTCATCTCAGACTGACCTGTGTTGTTCGTGTCTCTCTCTCTCTCTCTCTCTCTCCCTCCCTCCTCCTGTTGCCTCCCACACGAACACATGCCTCTCGTTCTTCCCCAGTCCCAGCGAGTGAGTCTCCACCTGCTCTCACGCGTGCGGGACAGATGCTCCCCAACAACAACACATTAACACCGCCGTCCTGCAGAGACAGAGCCGGCTGCACAACTCCTATTGCAATTGATGCAGAATATAAAATCAAGGGGCATTTAGCTCTGTAAAGCTGCTTTGAAATAATC